AGGAATTTACACGCAATGATTCATTTCTCCACGTTAACAAGAAAAACATTGATAACCGGCTTATTTTTCGATTAATAAAAACCAACACAGATTTGGAAACAAAAATAAAAACAATGAATCCTAGCTCGCAAATAAAAATCGAGTCAATAATCTGAGTAAATTACACCTTGGGACAAACAAGTTCTTAATTGCGTTACATTACACCGACATGAGTCATATAAAACAACATTAAAGATAAAACTAAAAAAATGAAATGGCTCAAAGTTTAATAATCATTAAAGTTTCATAAGGCTGATAAACTAATAATACATTTTTCTTTACCTATTGGGAACTAAATTTTAAAACACCACATTTTTAAGATATGCTGCAAGCTTTCTTTCTTTCTTTTCTTTAACAAAGAAAAGTCCATTTTCGCTTATATAACTTTGTTTTATTAAAATTAAAAATGTTTGTTGAGCTGAGAGTTAAATTAGTTAAAATCACCTTTTCGCGACGTTAACAACTGGTTGACGTTGTTTTTGTAAAATGAAATTTAAAAAAAATAGATTTTGGACAAACAATGAATTCAGACAAATTTTCGGAGGCAATTGAAATCAATAATCAGCTCGCAGTTTCCCTAGCCAAAAAAGTTTTCCATTTGCAAAAATTGGCCGTCTATCTTGACACCCGGTTATTTCAACTGTTTGTGCAACAACGGAGGCAGAAAATTAAATAACATTTCTGTGCATTGTTTACACTCAAATGGCCAAAACGGCTATTGAATTATTGAAATGGAGAGCGATATAACAGAACAAAGTTTTGCCACAACGAGTCGAACAACGGCGAACTTTATTTAAACATTATGGCAAAAAAATATGAAAATTTAATCAAAATAAATAAACTGTAAATTTGAGAAAATATTATGATAAAATTTTAATAGTCAATTAAGTTTAATAGTCAATGGTTAATAGAAATGTACGTTTTTTTCCTAAACGCCAACGCAGTCTCATGTTTCATTGTTAGCACGTAGTAAACTGTTGTAGTTTCTCTCGTGCTAAATCCCTAAAACTTTCTCAATATATTTTCAGTTCAATATAAAATCGTTTGAATTAAAAAACCAAAAATAAAATTTAGGGTAATGAAGGCATGGCACAATTGAAATTATATGAAAATAAGTATAATTTATAATAAAAAATTATAGTATTAGGCAGAAAATCAAACGAACTACATTTCTATTCCTTGTTTACACACAAAAGGCCAAAATGACTTTTAATTAGTGAAAGGAAAGGACAAAGTTTTACAAGTGAAAATTGTGGGTAAATCATACAAGAACAGTACTTAATTTTACAAAACTACCAATTGTAACAATTAAAAAAATGTATATATATATTTTTTAAATTGCTTTCAGTACAAAAATAAATACAATTGGCAGTATGAGCAACGATATTAATAAACATCTAGAAGAAACCTGTCAGACCATTGCTGGAACTCTCATTATTTAGGAGGGTCGGTTTAGAGTTATGGTAGGAGATAACGAGACCACTTTTTATGCAGCGTGAATATTAGGGTTGGACGTTGACAAAGATCTGGGGGTGGAAGTCGTATTCGGATCAGGTCCGTCATGGATGGGATGTCTCTGTCTTGCTGGTTTGGCTGTTGGGGGTAGATGGAAGCGTTGAGGATAGAAATACTGAATTCTTTGGATGTTTGGAACTGAGTCCTTCAGCATCTCTTCCGTACTTGCAAACCGGCCTGATTAGAGTTTTGTATTGGTAGTTTTTTGTATACACTTCTGCGGATGTAGGTCCAAGTCTGAGTTGTCCGTTGATGGAGTTCTTATCTTTTTAGATTTAGTGTGTGGGTTCCATGTAATTCGCTGTTTAAGTAGAACCCAAGGTAGTGGATTTAATTCCGGTGCTTTATTTTTTTAAATTATAAAACATTGCTCATTATTTCCTTTTGCTCGCGCATTGAATAAAGGGTGTAGTTCTATATCTCTCATCATTAATATAGTTTTGTTTAAAAATAAAATTTCCACGCGAAGATTTCTTATTTTAAATCGCAGTTTTTCATCCTAAAAACTAAACACGAAGATGCTTTTGACGAGCTTTTTATATAACAGTACATCTTAGTTAACTGCGCTCTCGCCACGTCACGATATTTGGGACGTTATGCTAGACAGAATACTTTGAGATTCTGCCCTCCAATTTGTTAAATTGTATTTTTCTGAAATGAAATTCCATTATCCATAACAAAATGCGTTTTTCTTTATTGCCCCCGTAATGTAATTTTAGTACAGTGATGAACAGTGAGTTTCCATACTTTTTTATAAATATCAAGCTTCAAGGTGTATAGAAATAAGGGACTTCTTTTGTTCTAGCATTCTTTTTATAATTGTCAGTAGGTAAAATTACTATACTTATTATTTTTATTTGGAGATCGTGAGTTGCGGTCTGGTGTGACGTAGGTTTTGGAAAAACATTTTCTTTATCATGCCAACGTTCGATCTTTATTGATATCATCTTCAGGGCATGGGATTTATAAATATTGTTTGAATTTTACAAAGACATGTAGGATGTGGAAAAACATGTATTTGTAAGATTCAAACAACGTTTATAAATCCCAGGCCCTGAAGATGATCTAAATAAAGGTCGAAACGTTGGCACGATAAAGAAAATGTTTTTCTAAAACGTCACACCAGACCGCACCTCACGATCTCCAAATAATCATTGGCTAACGGTCACTAAACACCACACTTGTTATTTTTATTAACTCTCTGATATATTTTGAGCAGCAATTGAGATTGTCTGTAATAATAACAAAAATTATTATTTTTACAAACCTTACGTAAACATGATGATTGCTTTGATTTACAAGTATCATAATCTTTATATATTTATCCACCTAGACCTCATTACCGACTGGTGCACTCGGTGGCCCTAGCCAGATGAAGAAAAAAGCTAAATCCAAAAATATCTATCGAGGCTATTTCAGAAAGATTGTGCTCTGTACAGTACTTACCTTATAACTGCCAGTTTTATTTTTTTCTGAAGAAGCGTCCTAAATGTACAAAAAATGCAATTACCTTGAAATCCAGCCTCTAATCACATTTTAGCGTTTTTTTAAATTTAAACAATGTTTATAAATCCCAGGCCCAGAAGATGATCTCAATAAAGATCGAAACGTTGGCACGATAAAGAAAATGTTTTTCTAAAACCTACGTCACACCAGACCCCATCTCACGATCTCCAAATAATCATTGGCTAACGGTCACTAAACACCTCACTTATTATTTTTATTAACTCTCTGATATATTTTACCGCAGGAATTGAGATTGTCTGTAATAATAACAAAAATTATTATTTTTACAAACCTTACGTTAACTTGATGATTGCTTTGATTTACAAGTATCATAATCTTTATATATTTATCCACCTAGAGCTCATTACCGACTGGTGCACTCGGTGGCCCTAGCTAAATGAACAAAAAAGCTGAATTCAAAAATATCTATCGAGGCTATTCCAAAAAGATGGTGCTCTGTGCAGTACTTACCTTATAACAGCAAATATAATAATATAATTTATATATTATATAAATATAATATAATATATAAATAAACGGTTTATTGTAAATTCCAAAAGCTGGAATCACTGGTAGACTGCGAGGAGTTGTAGGTTCAACTTTGCACATGAGTGTATGTACAGTGTGTTTCATTTTTTCGTCGCAATAGCACATTGTTCACATACAATAGCATACAATAGAATTGAAGAATACAATAGCACATAGTTCCTCTCACTCTCTCTCTCTTTCTCTCTCTCTCTCTATCTCTCTCTCTCTCTCTCTCTCTCTCTCTCTCTCTCTCTCTCTCTCTCTCTCTCTCTCTCTCTCTCTCTCTCTCTCTCTCTTTCTCTCTTAAAATGATGTGGAACAACTCAACGTTGCTATACAAATACACTTGAAACAATAACTCCTATTCAAATTTACAAAGTTCGGAGACCATTTTATGATCGGCTGGTTATTATGTTGACGCAGAAGGAAATTTGTTCGAACACCTCATTTAAATTAATAAATCAGCCACTTGTGGGTAGCACATAATTCACTGTCAAAGTTCAATATACTTAAATGATGATTAACTCTCAGTTTAAAACCGTAAATTAACATTATTTTTGTTTTAATTTTCGTTATACGTGAATTTATATTAGCAGTAAATTCACCATTGGCCTATTCATTACGAAAAATGCCAAAATAAAAGTAATATAACAGGTCTCTTTTATTTACGTTACACTGGAAATTGAAACCTTTACATTCATCGCATGGCCGCATCAATAATCAACGCACTGGGTATTTTTTGCTGTTGCAAGAAAAAATGAAACACGGTATGTATGCATTTACATATGCAGATTTGAGCTTGTATAAATCCAAATCCAAACTGTTCCCTAACCAATTCAGTAAAAGACTAAACAAAAAGAACTTTATTACTTACCGTTATTCTCCTCTTCATTTCATTATGATGTCTTACGGTTTAGATTTAAAGGATATATGATTTGTTGAAAAAGCATCATTTTCCCATGGTTTACTTTAAAAATAAAATTATTAAGTAAATATTTGTTGATTTCATTTCATTTTGGTTCTGTTTTCACCCCTCCCGTTAAAGTTATTTATATGATAATGCACTCGTAAAAAAGTAATATAATTTTTTTTTCTAGTTCGAATATAATCATTTATATAAAGAAGTCCAGTTTCAAAACTGTTAGTTATTTTTTCAGTTTCACTGCTTGGTTTATCCTTTATAGTTTAGTGGTCCATTGACCAAATTACTTCTTCCAATTAATTATTCTTTTTATGTAAGGTCTTCGTTGAAAAGAAAAAGTAAGCGTCACGAGCGGGATTGGAACCCACGTCCTTCGGCTTTTATATTTAATGATGCCTAATTTGAATTTGAGTTGTTTGAAACCAAGTTGCCTTGATCCTTGACGTTCTGGGTTGTCATCGCTTTGGGTCGAAAATTAAAAAAAAATGTGCACATTCAAATATATATATTTATTATTTTGTAGGTCAACACAAACAATAATACTGAACTTGTAATAACATATTTACGTGAAAGAGTTCCGTCAATTTTTTCTCATAATACTTGTTTAAATATGAACAGTCAAAAACTACCACTAGACTACATCCTTTGAAATATTAAATTTTTAAACTATTATTACTCATTATTGATCTTGATCGATGTAATCAAAATACATGTTGAAGCAACAGTCTTAATTTAATTGTTTATTTTTTAAATTTTTTGTTAATTTTTTGTGTGTGCAATTACACTATAATTCAATATACTGAAAGATGGAGTCAAAAACGGCGATATAGAGACCATTTATTCGAAAAAATCTTTAACACTTAATAATATGTTAGACTGCTCTCATAAATAGCACAACGTCATTCAGCTTCTTTTTTTATTCAAAAATGTCTACGTTCTTATAACTTTTCTCTATATCAAATTTGTATTGTCGGTATATTAAAAACTCTTATTAATGGTTATATACATTCATTAGACTAAAGGTTAAATATCTTATTTTTTCTGTTATTATTTGCATTAATATTATATTCCCCACGAAGAAATAAAACAAAAGAAATGAAATTACATCGAAACATGAAATTTAATACTCCAGAAATATTTTTCGTTAATATATTTTTTTTTTTTTGCCTCGATACAATCTATGTCCATTTTTGTTGGCTTTGATCGGCCAAAGCTGTAAATGACAGGAAGACCTGATTTTATCATTGTTTAAAATATTAAGCTTTTAACTTAGTTTTGAAAAGTAAGACAAAAGTTATTGCCCACGAAAATTGTATAATTTGAGAGTTGTATAGAGGTTTTAATGGTCGCTTTTCTTCATTTAAACAAGTCAATAAAATAGGAAAATAGATACTTAGATATAAATTGGTATAAACAAATAAAAGAAAACTCATGCGCCATTGGAATATATTGTAAATCGTTCATCTATGTTTTAACAATTTTTTTTGTTGTATAAATGTGTCATTTTTCAGAAAGTTCACTCATTATTTTTAAAAAATAAAGATTAAAAAATAAATCAAAAAGATAAATTTCTAATTTAATAAAAAAAATTACATATTACATTTATGTTAGTTCTTTTTTTCTGTGAAGTGAAGTAATAAATTACCTACTTTAATCTATTATTACACAAAAAATACAAAATTGTTTTAGTAAAATAAATATATAACATACATACAAACAAAATAAAAACAGTTGTGACGAAAATTCAGGCCTTTACAATTCACATCCATACCAAATTTTCAATTACAAAAATACATCCTGGGGCTTTTCAGAGATAATTTTAAAACGAACGGTGGTGTCTTGAGGGTCTAACGGTTGGTATTACTTGCCAAATTTCTGGAATAGGCCGCGGCGTTGGCACCTGCAGTTGGCGCCCCAGAGATTGCACCTGCACGAAGAGTCGTTGCAGCAGCCGGTCGGTCTGTGGTCGCAGTTGCCCCCACGTCGGACGCAGCCCCGCCTGTACAGATAAATAAAAGACGACCGCCTGCTATTGTTAGTCGGCAGATTCGAGCGGCGGGAAAGGGGGCCACAACACATCTATGTGCACTACAAGCGTGAGGATATGCCAAGCATGCATCATCAGTAGACATGCAATGGACAATGGTTATCTAGAAGAGACTACACGTTCACATTCGGCAGTTTATATTTTGTCAAATTTATCGTTGAGGAGGATTTCAATAAAGATATAGAATAAACTACAATAAAATCATCGCGATATAGTCTGCTCAATCTTATCGACAAAAATGATAGATCGCTACAATTTTTCGATTTTTCAAATATCCATACTTTACAGCCAAAACTACGTGAAACGTAAAATTTATATATATTTCTGATTGATTTAGTTGTATTATTTCTGTAGGCTCAGGTGTCATGGGCATAGTGAATAATTGGTCATTATGTAAAATGACCGGGCAATATGAATAATGACCAAAACTACTAGACAAAGTGACAAATAAAATTAATCTTATCATACTGACTGGTCATTATGCATAATGTCCAAACCTATTTGGACGGTATGAATGAAGAATAAGTCAGCATGTTGAGNGACTTTTTTATCTCAACTAAAAACCTTAATTAATTGTAGTATTCTTAATATTCCAATACTGTTATTTACCAAATCCCATTTCAGCTTTCAAATATTCCACTATGGTGGACTCTGTTCTTCATAAGCTGAACAAAGCGAAGTGCTTCAACCGATTTAGGCGTATTGTTAGTTTATAACCAAGAGCTAAGCATGTTCTCTACATCCTGGTTGCACCTCAACTGAACCTTGACTTTGTGGATGACGTGGTTTAACACAGACTGTCTTCAGCTCAGGCCACATGTTACACACTTCTTCAACCACACCCTTGCAAATTCTCTTCCGTTGCCACTCTTTAGAATGCTTGAAGCGCCAAAAATAGTACAAATATCTCAAATTGTAGGCAACCTCCTCTGCCCTTTTTGTTTTGAGGGGTCGCAGCTAAACGAATTTTGTCAGGTGATCCTGATAGACGAGAATAAATTTGTGACCCTCATCAGCATGTGACTGCATGTCAATCTACCTGACAACGTGAAGCCTAGCCGTGAGAAAACTCTAACACGCCCGAATGAAAACGAACCTATCCGAACAACAATCTTTCTGTCTTTTTTTAGATTTTTATCACTTTGCTCAACGATGTGCCAGCGTTATGCATAATGGCCGGTCAAAGTGGTAAAACACGAAGGAAAACACTAAATTAATCACATTGCCCATTTTCTGTGGTCATTATTCATATTTCCCGGTTATTGTACATAATGACCGAATTGTTCACTTTGGCTGTAACATGTGCACTGTGTACATGTGCAGAACTGAGCATATGACTTCTCTTGAATCACCCACTTGGGTGTTTTTGTGGTCCATCCATTCTTGAGATGTATTCTTTCAAAGTTAGTTACAAACTATTTAAAAATGAATATGCTACTTATTTATTATATCCTTCGGATTGTTATTCCTAATCCTTGAGTATTCTCTACTTACTTACAGTTATTTTAGTCAATTAGACATTTGGTTACCACGTGCTTCCACTTCATTCCAACTTATCTTCACCTGCCGTTTGGTAAAATTTGGCAAGACCCTCTCAATTACCAGTTACCAATTCTAGGCCAACAGCCAGTACTACGTGAAACCTAACATTTATATTTCTTATTGATTTAGTTGTATTATTTATCTAAGCTCAGTTCTGCCCATATATGCACTGTGTACATGTGCAGAACCGAGCATATGACTTCTCATGATGAGAATCACCCAATTGGGTGTTTTGGTGATCCGGCCTCAGGGTTTGGTCGTATCCGCGTCAATTTTAGGCTGAAGAGGCTACCGACAACAGGATCATTTCAGCCCACAACGTATGCAGTTTTAATTTAAACATGCTCACTCGCTCACTCATTCTTAAAAACGTTTCCTCTTATTATGTGCCTTTCATTCAGGTAGGATGATGAAATAATAGATATTCCTCCATCACCCTTTATCACGCATATAAATACAGTAACTTGTCTCATTGAGGTTGAGGGGGTACTTGACATGCCGCCATTGACACTTTTGTACTTCACACACATACCCGCATATAAATACGTTTGCACAAAACAGTTAAAACATCTATCATCAAATTTAATAAATATACACAAATAGGAATTTACCATATGGGTATATGGTATACCATATAGCATATGGGATAACAAAACGAATATAGAATCCTCCATCGCAGAATGAATCCAAACAAACCAAAAGGAGAAGGGGTTAAACTCTAGCGGTAGTGGTAAACTTATGATAAAACAACCCTCGCCAAGATTGGCAAAAGCATTGCTGCAATTGGAGAGGGCCAAACTCAAAAGAGTGGTAGGACTACTAACCGGTCACTAGCATCTGAGAAAACATCTACACAATATGGGTATATACAACGATGATCCCATTTGCAGTAATATGGAGGAGGAAACAGCCACCCGTATTATCTTCGAATGTGAAGCAACAGCTCAATGGAGATTTAACCTAACATATGGAAAAAACTTAAGGAATCAAATTGCAGCAGCGACAGTCAATGACCTGATACTTCTAAGGAGAAGGATTGAGTCTATTGCACTGAACTAAGGAACTACAGATACAATAAGCCAAGAGGCTGCAGTGCCTGGCGAGCACAAACCCCGCTTCCTAGTATCCTTTCTACCATACCATACCATACCATTACCCGCAATAACTAAAAGATATATTGATTCCATAGTAGTCTAATTAACTTCATAATAATTGTATATATACAGCATCACCCCAGTTTCCTCCAGAAACTGATGGGGACCCAAATATTCGCTTCCGTGCTCTATTCCTATTTCTCCAATTCTTATAACTGACGGCATTCCTACTCGCTCCCGATATGGAGCCAAGGAATACACTCTGTGGGACACATTGAGCAACAATCTGCGTGTCGGATACATATTCGAGCTTTGGCCCAAAACTAACACAAGTGTCTGTGTGCCAACCGCTGGCTAATTAAAAAACTGGATAAGATGACCCTTCTTCTGCTTCTTCCTCAGATTTTTCCGTGGATCGGGTTCTCAACGCGCAAGAGCTTCTCGGACGACCCAGTACACTGTCACTCTTTTTACCATATTCTTCATTGCTCGTTTAACGTCATAGCTTGCGATAGTAAGGTCCAGGTACGCAAAAAACTACTACCGTTTGTCCAAGACGCTCCAACTCAGCGTGTTTTTCGAGCAAAGCGTAATCAACACCGAGAATCTCATTTTTAGGGCTCACAACGCACTGAGAGATTCAGTGCACACGAGGTAGGATGAATCCTCCCCCATTGCTCGAGCCCAAGGGCATGCCACATCGCATACAATTCTTATTCACAATTTTCTGATTATTGTAAAAAATAATTTATTTAAAACATTCATTGTCAAACGTTGTCGTTGTAGAGATTTATAGAGAGAATTGATATCAAATAATTTTATTTTCCGTAAGTTTATTTAAACGCTTCATTAAATAGAAGAAGTAAAACAATATGTACAAGAAGTCGTCTTTCCACAATATTGTTCTTGTTTCTTCTTTTAAATGATTTAAACATTTTCGCCACATCACTCATAAAGCTAAGTACCTAATATATTTAGTTAACTTCATAAAGTTTAGCAACAGTTAAAGTTGTCTTGACTTGGTTTGATGGACTCCATTTCCTATATAACTTCTCTTAACCCTATTAGATAGTTAACGTACATTATACGTATATGTACTTTCCTCATCTTTCAAATTTCCGACATAAAGACGTTTAAACTCGTGAACTGTTAGTAAACTGATCCATGTTTTCTTATTAAGCAGAATAGTCCTCTTTCTCACTACTGTTTACATAAACTAGAAGTATCGTTATATCAAATATTGTTTACAAATTTTAATTAATTATTCTTTCCATGTAAGGTCTTGGTTGAGATAAAAAATCAGTGTCACGAGCGGGATTCGAACCCACGACCATTGGCTAAATACGCCGCTACTCTACCACTTGAGCTATCGTGACTTGGATCCTCTCGGACACCAACTCTCCATCTCAACCTACAACCGTTCGAGCCTTCCCTCTTCTTGCCATTTTTTATCTCAACTAAGACTTTACATGGAAAGAATAATTAATCGGAAAGATGTAACTTGAAAGATGTCCATTGATCACTAAAACGTAAATGAATTACTATTTAATAAGTAAAAGAAGTATCACTTCACTCCCCGTGGCCACTTCATAAGTCGCTGAGAATCCAATCCCATTACACATTTGAAAATGGCAAAAAGAGGGAAGGTTCGAACGGTTGTAGGTTGAGATGGAGTTTTGGTGTCCGAGAGGATCGAAGTCACGATAGCTCAAGTGGTAGGTAGAGTAGCGGCGTGGGTTCGAATCCCGCTCGTGACACTGACATTTTTATCTCAAACAAACCCTTACATGGAAATAATAATTAATTGAAAGATTTAACTTGGTCTATTGACCACTAAAACGTAAATGAACTGTTTACCAAGTTGGTTTCCCCTCCAGTATTGAATTGAAGGGTTGTTGTGTTGCGAGGGGGAAGGTGAAGGCGAAAGTTTCTTCTTAAATAAGAGAACTTTTTTATAAGCCATTCTCCCGTGTTTTCTTCCAGTCTAGAGAAATATCCGAGAATAAAGGGGTGTACCGTCTTCCATGAGAGTTTAGAAGGGAGAACGAAACATCGTACCTGACTATCCGAAATGGACTTAATTTGCATGGTGATTCAGTCCAATCTCGGTACTAAAGCATGGTTGTGGAGAAAAGGGAGGGAGAGATGATTGATGAGAAATATAAAAGCCTTAGAGTTTCATGAGTTGGTAAATTACAAGATGACTTTATAGCAAGATAAGAAATGTCATTAACATTAACATATTTGTACAGTATGCAAAATTGTAATTTTGTTTTAAACGAATGCGTCTTTACATATTCGAACTAGACGTAATTTACGTCAGTAAGTAAAACAGTCAAATGT